AATCGATATAGAATATGCACTATAGATTATATATTTCCGGCATCGTATTTATAATAGGACTTTAGTCAACCATTTTATCATAACTGTTTAATAAAACTAAAAAATAAAGTCAATAGTTGATATAGAATATACAATATAGAAATGCGGTATTATGGCACTATCAGCTATGGCAATTACGGTTTACAGCTTTAATTATGGTTTACGACCTTCAAGATTTTGTGCGTAATTAAATAAATATAACACGTGCTGTAATACCACAGTTCAGTAATTGTAATTATGAATCTATTTAACCTTTATAAGATGAAAAAATTATACAAAGATATACATGTAAAATTAGGTGTCAAACATTCTTGCTTAATAAATTAAACCAAGTTTTCACAGTAAAATTTTGATTTATTAATATTTTTGTGTAATATGTTCGAGATATTGCCTTTTGATATCCCTGATTCTAAATCTGCTAATAGTATAAGAAATAAAACATAAGTCTTTACCGAGTACGCTTATACTAGAGGTAGCTTATTTCTTATTGCGTATTGGATAAAATTGTAGTTAAATCCGGCATACTAGATTGCATATAACACAAATATAACTTTTTTCATAAAGGGAGACGTAACCAATTCCTCCTCCGGAATTAGTAGTTACAATGCCCATATACACTCATGATCATACACCGCGGTAAATACCATGATTACGCCTAAGGAGAATTATCTTAAAGATAACTTATCCGTTAATGCGTATCGGATAAAACCGCAATTAAATCCTGCATACTAGACCGCATACACAAATATAACTTTACCAATTCCTTCATCAGAATTAGTAACCTTCAGTTAAATAAGCATATACCTCATTATCATATGCCATGGTAAATACACTGATACGCCTAAGAAGATAAAACTTATTCCTCTATTGTGTATTAGATAAAGTCAAAGTTATTCACTGAAAAATTTAGCTACGCGACTTACCAGTGAATAATCCGTTTGTTTCAAATATACTAGTAGTTGTCACGGGTAAGAAGAACCATGACTAAGGGAACGTTGTACGATCGACGATTGTGATCCAGTATCAAATCGACGCATGCCCAAATTGGACGAACATGCATAATTGCCAACAATCGAACAATCAAGTGTATTCGACCAAATTGGGAAGGGGATATGTTCACGACGTCCATGGTTCAAAATTGCGGGATCGAAACAACAATTTGACGGTTTGTGTTGGGGAAAGAAGGAAAGAGTATTATTAGCAATGTGGCAATATCTAAAAATAGACCAATGGATGGGAAACCTACCCGATAATAACCCTGGAACAATTGGTAGTGAGAAAAAGAGTGGAGGAAAAACTGGCAGTATTCTAAAATAGAATAATTAGTAAGTCGAAAATTGTATAAAAGCAAAACGAATGTATGAGAGAAAATCTCGTCTTTCATAGCCCCTAATAGTAGAAAGGTCTAACGACTATATACAAACAAAGTCGTAGTAGTTGTAGTAGTTAGCTATAGTAGTCATAAAGAGTTGTTTGTGTTATTATGCAAAATCCAAGCAAAACAAAAAGAAAAAAAAATAAATAAATAAAAAACATGCCCAAATCGTATTCACTCCTTTAGTAGAGTGAGTACCTTCCACGTTGCCTCTATAGCAGTATAAAGAATAGCTAGTACTTATCTGGCATACTAGATCATATATAACACAAATACAACTTTTTAATAAAAAAAATGTGTATATATATTATCCATAATCACAGAACAATTGAATACCTGGAAGTTCACTTGGGCTTCCTCTCAAAGACTAGGCTGGTCAGATCTGAATCTTCATTTAATGTGTTCTTTAAATATCAGATTGTTCATGGTCTTAAGAAGCTTTGATTATTATAGTACTTTTCGAGTTTGTTTTAAACGTGTATTTGGTTTATAACTTTGTCATTTGCTATTTACTATCATTCAAACTTCGTAATACTACCTTTTTTTCTAAATATCTATTGTGACGGCTGATGCTGAAGTTTGGCTGATGTTGAAGCTAAAAAATCTGATTGGTTAGGGTTAGGGTGATCTGCAAAATTTAGCCAATCAGATTTTTTAGCTTCAACATCAGCCAAACTTCAGCATCAGCCGTAACATCTATTAACAAAACAGAATATTTTATAACGCTTCTACATTTCTTTAATTTTTATCACCCTTTTTTATATATTTCATCTGACCTTATATTTGGCCAAATTCTACTTGGAACTATTTTTCTTTTTTTTTGATTCTTTTTAAGTCACGAAATATGATAAACAGCAGAGAGCATTAAATTTATTTTAAAGAAAGTTTTTTCAAGCAGATTTGTATACTTACCCAATCTTTCTGATTGTGTTTAGCCAATTAAATTACCAAATTAGACAATTTTAAGGTTAGACCTGGGGTTACAAATTTAGCGTTGACACCTATGTATAAATAATTTTTTTAAAGTACAAAATCATGTAATACATACAATTGGGTTTATAATAAATGTGTAAACCCCATGTCTATTCTAAGGGTGTCTACCAAATTAAGGGGTCATCTAAAGCCATGTATTCACGTAACTTTTTTGTATAAATCAACCAACCAGAATTGCATATGGATCAGCCCCGAAGTCAAAAATAAAGAAAATGCAAAAAGGTGAAAAACAGCAGTCTAAACCTGTCTTGGGGGCAAATTTGACCTATATCTCTCTTCTTACGTCAACACCAAACCAACTCTAATCCTAATCTTTAATTTAATTAAACTGATTAAAATATCAAAATCACGTGGATGCATAACTTTAATCCCAAATTAAGCGCAACGTGAAATTGTAAAAAATTGTCTGTAGTTCAAAATTTTGCTTATGGAAACAGCTAATTTCAATATATGGGGACCTCACAGCAAAACAAAGCGGTGGGCAGTTTTAAAACTTGATTTTTAAATAAGTATATCTTATGATTCTTATATTATTAGATTCATATTACTGAAATGAGTCTAATGATATAAAAATTATTTACTACTAATTACTATATTATAAAATATACTTATTTAAAGATCAAAATTTAAAACTGCTTACTGCCTTGTTTTGTTGTGGGGTTTTCATATGCTAATCCCCAATCTAGCTCTAAATTTGGCTCTAATATATGTTTCTTTGTTTTAATTTTCATATTGCACATAGTTTCAAAATCTGACTTGCTAATATACAGGAGTAGTTGTTATTTTGTTAATCATCATATGACCTGTAAAAACAGTGTAATTCGTTTTTATATAAGGATATATGAACTTGTGAATAGCAATCAAGTTGAGCTTATCATATTTATACTTAAATATCTAACATTACTTAGCATTAGTAAAATATGTATAAAGTATAAATTAATTTTTAATTTGCATTTTTCTAATAGTTTTTTGCAAAGTTTTTGCTTTCTAAAAGTTTATATGTCTAATTTTTTTAAGTTTACTTTTTTTATAATTAACTTATAACTCTACAAGCTTATAACAAAAATAAAAGAATACTGAAGTTATTAAAAGATAAATCTCTAATAATAGTAGACTTTCTAAATGCAAGTTATTAATACTAAATTTAAAATATGTAGTTAGTAAAGATGTGCCGCTAATATATCTTTATTATCTTTGCAAAAATTAATTATATTATATCATATCTAGTATTGCTAGATAATACCTTTTTTAAAAAATAATAAAAGACAAAATTTAATCCTTCATTAGACAAAAATAATAAAACTTTTGTAAAATACAATACCCTAACAGAAAATGAAATTTTTGACAAAGATAAAACTCAAATCTGACAAAAACAGTATGTATTGTAACTATGCTAAAAACTTGATAAGAAGGTGTATATAATTAACTAATAGTTCTGTTTAGTTTTTTTAGATAAATTCATTTTTAAAAAATAATAAAAAACAAATCTAATCTATTGAAAATTCAAAGTACCAAAATTTTCACAAAAGGTAAAATGGTTGACTAAAGTCCTATTATAAATACGATGCCGGAAATATATAATCTATAGTGCATATTCTATATCGATT